ATAATATCAATAAGCAAACAAAATAAAACAGAAATAACCCTATAAATTTATGATTTCTTGTGAAGGTTATTTGACTCCATTTCAATGGATAAATATACTGAGGAATTTTAATTTCTTTAACTGAGTTTTGGTTCTTTTTGAGGGAGATTCAATGAGAAATTGTCCTCATTTGGTATTTGGTCAAATAGACCCTTGGGAAGAAGCCATATCCAACTTTGCTCTTTCTCATCCCATAATTCTGTGTATTTTAAGTTATTTGATCCTTCGTCCTTCTGGCAGACTGCTCTTGAGGAAAATACTGAACTAGAAAACTCCATCTCTGCTCAGTTTAAAACTCTTATAAAACCAGTTCTTGCTCACACACTCCGAGTAAATAGCTGCTTTAACTCACACACATAGAGGGCCATTGGGAACTCTCAGGTTTTCTAACTCTGAGGCTAACTAGTACTTCAGTTCCTTCTACTGAGAAAATGTTACATATGAAACCATGATTCAAGGACTATCCTTGAATGTAAAATAAAATCTCAGCCATCAACAACAAGTACAGTAGGGTGGTGTCGAAAATATAGTGCTTAAGTGGAACAGAGGCCCAACCTGTCAGGAGGGACACTGGCTGTGAGAGCCAGTTCAGGCAAGTGGCTGGGCACTGGCCTCGCTCAGCCCGCCCAGGTGGGCCCCAGGGCTTGGCTGGGTCTGCCCGCTCTGGCTGCAACTGTGTCTCCTATAGCCTGCTGCTGCTGCTGCTGGGTGTGTGTGTGGGTGAGAGTGTGTGTGTCTGTGCAAGCGACAACCTCTGTGGGTGATGTGTCCTTAGGGACAAGAACACTGTTCTCACTGCCTGTGCCAAAGGCTCCACCCAGAGTTTATGGTGAAACAAATCGCATCATGTTTGTTTAGAGCCTTCTACTTTCTAGGAGGCCCCAGAGGAGCCATTTGCTCTAGCCCCTAGTCATGCAGTCTCAAATTCAGACTTTTTGATATGGTTTACAAATGAGGCTAAAAATTCTGTCTCACAGAGGTGCTAACTGAACTGGAAAGGAAGATCTCTCTCTCTCTCTTTCTCTCTCTCAGTACTGGAGATGTAACTAAGGGCTTTCACACTGCAGTACACTTCCAAGCCTTTTTATTTTTTATTTTGATACAGGGTCTCACTAAAGTTTCTAGGTTGTCTAGGCTGGACTCCAACTTGCAATCCTCCTGCCTCAGCCTCCCAGAGTGCTGGAATTACAGGTGTACACCACCACACCTGAGAGGTTCATCTTTATTTTTTTTCTTCTTTAAAATCTTTATTAAGTTTATTGGTACATTTTAGGTATACAATATAGTTACATTCATCATTGGGATCTTGTACCTATACATGACTCATCTTGGTTCTTATTTTTCCCCATTCCCCAGTATCTTTAAATCTGGTCTAATTACCATCACAAACATTTTAGTGTTTCATGAATCAATGTGTCTACAAATCCTATCATTTCCTGGAGAATATCTTGATGCACACAATAATTTTTTGTTGTCATTATGTTGCCATCCACTTATGAAACACATTTGTAAAGCACAATATTTTTCATGAATTTCCACACTTAATTTTTTACCATGTAGAAAGACTAGAAAAATGGGTGTACCCTGGTATCACCCTAAAAGCCAGTTGAAACAGGAGGCCCGGGGCCCCAGGCCTAGCTTTGCCCAGAGTATCTAGCCTGGTGTTAGAATCTCTCTTCTTTAAAACACCTCTAATTTTCTCCTTCTTAGGGATGTTTGTTTTCACAACATCCCCCTGCAGCCTCCCTTCAAAGACTTCCCCTGAGCAACCCCAGGAAGCCTGAGAGAGCCAGGCCAGAGTGAATTCAAGAGTTGCTTGTTCAGACCAAGCCTGAGAAGGACACTCAGTTGCAGCTTAAGTACAGTCCCTCTTACATACTGACCACCTCTCTGTCTACCACGTGTAAAAAGGAGTCCACCGCTTAAAAATGTTTGAGAGCAACTATCTTAAGGTATTCTTCTGACTGGTGGGAATGTTCATATCTTAAGTCTCAGTCTTGGCATCTTTGGAGGATCAAGTGTAGCCTTTTCAGTGGGTCCATGACTCCAGGTCTGTGTGCCCTGGGCATTGCAGAATCTGCACTCTCATAATCAACATGGCTCTTGGTTTCTGACTTTCTGGCCAAATAGAAAATGAAAAGGTGTGAATGGGGGAAAGGGAGATGTAAGGGAGCTCTCTCCTGAGCCAGTTGTTTGGATCATGAACTACGGAAAGCCTTGGAACTGTGGATGAAGTAGCAGGCATCAAACTTCATCGGCCAAAGACCACTACAGGCAGTTCTGCCCTCGACCAGGACGTGCAATTAAAGCTTAACTTTGCCCTAGAAGGTCAATTTGAATATGTCCATAAACGCTGAAAAGTTTACTAATAGTGTATCTACTTTGAGTCATAGCTTCTTGAAAATGAATTAAGTTCATTAACTTGTAGTCATTGGAACAAAGCATTCTTTCTAAAGAGAGTTGGCCAAAAAAGACCTACTAGAATGCCTCATTGTGTGCCGTGGCATTAAGGGGAAAAGGTTCAATCCTAGAGCTCAGGGGTTCTGTTTTGTTTTTCTGTTTTCTCACATGATTTAACCACCTTTCCCTAGGTTACATAACTCATTGCTCTTTATGCTTTGAGTTTTGCCATTTAGAAATCCAGAAAAAGTTCCTACTTTCAGATCCCAAAGAAAGATGGTAATTAGTAAGAGTATTGTAAACACTCTGAATTTCCTGATAAAAGAAATTATAAGGCCAAATATGGTGGCTCACAGCTGTACTCTCAGCACTCAGGAGGCTGAAGCATAGGATCTCCATAAGTTCAAGGCCAGACTAGACTACATAGTGAGACCCTGTCTCAAGTCGGGGGCGGGGGTTGCTGAGACATAGGGAAGGGAGGGAGAGAGAGAGAACTGAAATTTATATACAGAGAAGCCAAAAGCAGTATTTGACAATTATTATTTCTTCATACTTCAACACCTTTATAAAACCAATCAAGGAATCATCCTAATATTAACAGATGGAATCATTAAGTAACTTGTCAAAACCATACAGCAAGCCTACACAATGGATTCATTTAAACATAAAGGTGTCACAGGATGAGTGCCTTTGAGTATAAAATGATTACAAAGCAAGTTAGGAAAATTTACAGAAGTAATAATGCAGAGTTCGTGTTCATCTAAATGTAAATTATATACAGCATAAGTCAGATGTATATTCATCTGAGATTTTAGGAAAACATTGAGGCATCTCGTCTACATAATAAAGGCTCATTTAAAATTCAACTTGAAAGATGATTTACGTTATTGATTTGTCATTTCTTTATAACAGCATAACAATTACACACTGAGTTAAATTATGAGAATGTATTCAACTTTTACAAGCATAAGCACACATTATCTTCCTTGAAGATAATTGTGAACGTGTATACTCTAAGCTATTAAGGAACACAGTGCTTTTACAGCTGTATCAAAATTTAAGTAGTTAATTTTTTTTCTCATTGAGTTTATTGGTATTTTTTAAGCATACACTACAGTTACATTCAACATCATTGGGATCTTGTACCTTTACATGACAGATCTTGGTTCTCATTTTTTTCCCCATACCCCTGCCTTCTCCCTCTCCCCTGTTTACAAAGACTTGTTTCCATTTTTCCCTTTTCTCATACTTTTTCCTTTCCCTTATTAAATAGTTAATTTTTAATGGTTGCTGAAAAAGTCCCTCCAAGACAGATTCTTTTCATTTTTTGGTGACATTGCCACTGACTCCACTTAGTGAACCTTTTCGTTGTTATCACTACCTCAGCTTGCTGTCTACAGCTTGGTTTCTCAGGAATTCAGAAAAAAGAATTGTGCAACTCTGTTCACACCCAAATACACATTCCCCTTGCCTGCTTCTAGGGCACACTGAGTCAGCAAACAAAGCCATAGGAAGAGGGGCAGCTCTGCTGCAGAGAGATGAAAGATGGCCCCGGGGCTCCATTCTGGACTAGAGGCAGGGCAGGGAGAGAAGGATGAGTGGGGCACAGGGCAGGGAGAAGGACCGTGTCTTCATGGCCGAGAAGGTGCCTCTTCAACTCCATGTAAGGGGCTGTGGAGTGGATTCCAGAGTCAGGAAAACCTCCCAGAGGCAAATGCATTTACATCATTTAGTCTTTAAATCCCAATGTATGGTTTGGGAACATAATACAAGGTTAGGAAGGGCAGAGCTGAGGAAAGCAGTAGGAAGTTGTATTTGATGTCATGTTACAATTCACTTCCAGTTCTTTGGGAGCTCCTCAAATGAATAGGAAGAAGCTGGGACAGGTGTATGGTGTGTCTTGTGAGCATTTGGGGCTAGCAAAGGCGAGGGAAATAAATTAGAACTTCACCCAGCTTCACCTCTGGAAGGCAAAGGTGCAAAAGCAAACCTTAGTTTGAGGAGCCAGTTTTAAAGAAAGCAGGACCAAGCAAAAAAGAGGTTTCACGTTTGGAACAGTCCTCAAGTTCATTACTGATAAGCCCAGAATTTCAAAAGAAAAGTTGTGTTCATTGATTACATAACCGATAATTTTATGAAGCACACTTAAAACTCTGATTCAAAGAACAGTGTTTACATATTGTCCATTAGCAAAGATATGTGAAAAAAAATTGTGAGTTTACAAATGAGACTATGTTGCCAATCAACTTTTCCAAAATGAAAAAGCTTTACACATTGTCTTAGGTATAAAAACTTGATTAGCCCTATCATACCAATAGTGAGTATGTAAGTCCATTCTCTTAACACATAACGTCCCAACACGACTTCGGTCCTCACAATGTTACAGCCCTGGGTCCCTCCAAGTCCCTCCAAACCTTGTCCCCTTTCTCCCGGCTTCCAGCCCGCTCACACGAGTGCGCGTGCGCGCGGGCACACACTCACTCACACTCATGCACGCCCGAGAGGCACAGAGCGCCGCTGTCCCTTCCAGAGAGTCACCGGAGCCCAGAGTCTCACGTTACCTCCCGCGCAGGCAGGATGCCGGCCGCGTCTGGCTCCGTCGCTGCGGTCGCTCTCCACCTCTCTCCCTTTCTGGTTTAGCAGCGTGGGGCCCTCTATGTTTTCAACAGGTACCATGGTCACGTAGAAGTCACAGCCTCTCTCTCGCCACTAAACCACCGTGTCCTGCACCGCCTGCAGGACTGGTCACTTTCCCCATGGTACCGTACTAAAGAAGAGTGCGGGGGAGGACTTCGGGCAAAGCCACTGTGATTTGTGACCAACTTTGTTTCTATTTCCGAAGGCATTGCCCTTTTCGGTGACACAGGCTGTTGCTATTCCGAGCAGCCTATCAGAGGCAGGGGGAGGGCCCTGTCCGGAGAATAGTTGTTGCCTTAGATGCGGAGTTGGAAGGAAGAGGTTAAAAGACTTGCTCACAAGTCTCAGCCATGGTATTTGGCCCTGAGCTGGGGCTAGCTCTTGTATTCCTGGACCTTTAAAAACAGGCAGAGAAAAGAAAGTGCAGATTTAAATGCCAGCCAAGAGTGGTGACAGAACACTCACAGATGGTATCACCTAATATTGCAGAAGAAGAATTTATGCAAAGACATACCAGAAAGAAAAGTGTTAATTTTTTAGCAATACTGTTATAACAAGAGCCAGGACACTTACCAGCTTACACAAAACCTAAAACATCTTTACTGTTTCAGGCTAACTGCAATCGAGGCAAGTGTCTCCTATGCTCCTCTCTTCTAAGGCCTATCAAACAAATCAAGGCCTGCCATGGACTCAGAATACACCGATTATTTAGATGTTGGATATCTTGAGATGACAGCAAATTAGTCCCTTTTGAAATACCTAATTGTCTTTAAAAGAGAGAGAGCTAATCCTCAATCTTCTGGCAGGTTGAATTTTGCTTGGGCAGGAGAAGGACACTTCCCACTCAGGAAGAAGGATGAAATGACCTATCGTGTGGGTGTTCTGGTCATAGAACCTGAAACAAATCAGGATGTGAAGCGGAAGATCGTGTTTCTGATTTGCGAACGTATTTATACAAACAGCCTTACAGAGTGATGCTATTTTACATTTACGTATTTAGCAGATCACATTTATTGAAAAGCCTTATAGAGAAAAATATAATCTTGCTAGAAAATCACTGGAGAGTGAAAACTAAAATCTGTGCAGTATTTATGGGCTAGAAATTGTACTAAACTTGTTAACTGAAGTGATTGTTTTCGGAGGGTAGGGACAACCTTGTGAGACAGGTGCTGATGTTAGAGCTGAGGAAATGGAGGCCGAGTAGTTTGTGGAGCGTCTCACAGGCAGTTACAGCTGGCGCTGTAACTCTCCTCTAGGGTAACTTCTTAGCCCTGCCCTTCTCTGCTAACACTTCCTGCCTTTGCTTTTATTTTTATTAGTACATGGTTGCGGTACCTAATGATTGCATGCATTGTGAGGAGTTGGCACACAATTGTATTACTACAATGGCTTAGGCAACTGCTTTGATTTGTTCCCAAGTTGTGTTAATACCATAGGAGTGGCACTTTCTATCTGTAGACATGTATTTCTCATCAGTTCCCCACCTTCTCTTGGCTTTTGTCTTCTTCTTGTGTAGGACCAGTGACTTGAGGGGGGATGGCTGTGTTCTTGTCCTGGGGGCGTTGAGTGATTGCTTTGTTTCATGAGCCCTAGGACCTGGGTCAGCAAGAAGTTTGCTATAGCAGCTGAACAGGCTCAAGCTAAACCTAATTCCAGATTACCTTGTTGCCTTCTTGCTCTGCTTTTCTCGTAGCCAAAGTATCCAGAGCTCCAAAGGCATAAACTGACCAGAATCCAGAAGGAATGGGGAAACAATGCAATCAACCACCTTCCTTCCTGGTTCACCTAACTCTATTCATCGTCCTGTTGTTGACCTTGACAGGGGGCAATGTTCAGCTCACCTCATTCTCTTACATCAGAGAAAAGCTGGAGGGGGATATTTCTTTCTCTCAGGAAGAAGGGGACATTCTCTTTAAATTCTATTAAGGACCCTATACTCCCTCGAGTGGTTAGCATACTTATAATGAATTTATTATAGTTAGGTGCAGTGATTTGATTAAATCTGTCTCTCCTGGTGGATCACAAGGCCCTCACAGTGTGGACCACATTCCATATGGCTTAGTAGGGTGTTCAGAATTCCTAGACAAGAGCAAATACACAGCAGATACTGCTGGGGTTCAGGCTGTGATACTCCAAGGTGCAGCACCTTAGATGCTGGGTGCTTTGAACCGAAGGCTGTTGGGAGGCCCTCAAAGGCAAAATTTCTCTCAATTCCTCCTGCCCTTCTGTTTCTCAGATACTTTCGCTATCCCAAAACAAATGGTTAAATCAGAATTCCTTTACACAAAGCTAAGCTGCTCTTCCTTAAAGCAAGCCACAAACTTAGAAAGGTCACTCTTCCCCCTGTCCCCTGAAGAAGGCTCCTGACCCATATTCCAGGGAAAGAAATGCTACACAGCAAGCCCAAGAAGAACCTGAACAGGCCTCGCTCCTTGAGGATCCCCCCTCGTTTTGCTGCCATTACATCAACGCTTTTGTCCGCTCACATTTCTACATAGCTGACCATTCTTCATCAAGGCTAAGCAATAACAACCAATCATTTTCCCTGGATCTTTGGGTCTTCATTTCTGAAGGCTCCTGTGTCACACAAAACTTGGATTAAATCAATCTCTATGCTTTTGACTTTTTAACCTGATTTCTCTTACAGTTGTACCAGCCATGACCCTTAAGATGGCTAAGGAAAGGTTTCCTACATTTGTACACATACAGGTAAAGTACTGATTCCCTGTAAATCCAGTAAATTTTATCAATACCAGAGTGTGAGTCAAGTACAGGCACTTGTACCTGTTTGTACATTCATCTACCTAGGTATCCCTGGTTTCTAGGACAATACGCAGTAGACACGCGGTAAGTGTTTGTCAAACAAATGAGTGCTCACAAATGGAGCTTTCAGAGCCAAATACTTAGTTGGTTATTTAGTATGAAGACCTATATGATGATTGGCCATGATACTGTGTACTTCCCTCCTGTCTGCCAATCCCTTTATAGCAAGTGTCACTAAGGGATGTCTCTCTTCCCTAGAGTCTGAAACACTTTCATCACTAAAAGCTATTCACCATCGAGGAATATACAATCTCCATCTGCTGAGAGATAGGCCATTGCTCATAACAGAAATGATCTTGTTACATACCATTTTAGACCACTGCCCATACACAGTGCTACCAAATCCCAAGACACTTCTCATGGTTTATAAACTGACAGAGCAGTGAAGTAAATGCTTCGCTTGGAAAGGAAATGCTACTACTTCCGTGTTGCAGAAATCCAAACTGAGAAGTTTATAACACATGTCCAAGATCAAAAGATATTTTCTGACGTTTTATTATGAAAATGTTGAACCATGCAGGGAAACCTAGATTCCATAACATTTTATGGTCCTTGCCTTTTCACCTATCCGCTACTCCTTCATTCATCCATTGATTCTTATTAGTTTGTATTCCTTTTAAAGTAAGTTGAAATGCTTCATACACATATTGTTAACCAGATCTCAATATTTATAGAGATTCTTTTTATCTCTTCCAGGCAAGTTTATATACAAGGCAGAACATAGACCCTAAGGGTTATCATTAGGTTGTGTTTAGAAAAAGGACACAATCCCAACTCTTACTATGTTACAGAACATGACCATCATCCCAGATATTTCCTTCATATTTCTTCTGAGTAAATTCCCATCCCAACCTCTAGGAGCAACCAATGTTTTGGTTGTTTTTCACTGAAATTACATTTGCCTATTTTAAACCGTCATATCATGAAACTGTAGAGCATTTATTCTTGCATAAGGCTTCTTTCAATGAGTATAATCTGAGATTCATTCATGTCTTTGTGTGTATTAATTGTTCACTCTGGGGGCTGCGGATTTAGCTCAGTGGTTCCAGCAACTGCTTTGCAAGTGCAAGGACCTGAGTTCGATCCCCGGTACCAAAAAAAAAAAAAAAGTTCACTCTGTCATTGCCGAACAGTACTTGGTGGATGTCTACAGTTCAGGGTTTTCTTAACCAGTACATATTCACAGAGTGTGACATTTACATTCCCTGTGTGGACTTCGTACATGTGTGTAACGTATCTTGATTCCTTTTTCGTTGCCCTTTCTCCCCCTGCCTCCATGTCTTGATACATTTCCCATTCGCAAAATCTACCTCCCTATCTCCTATTATCTTTTATTTTGTTCTTTGTTTATACTCCGGGTTTCTCATATAAGAGAAACCATGCAGTATTTAAGCTTATGTATCTGATTTATTTCACTTACCATTTACTCATTTCAAGGCACATCCATTTTCCTGCAGATGATTCAAATGCATCTTTCTTTCTGGCAGAGTAGTTCTCCATTATGTGTAAATATCATATTTTCTTTATCCTTTCATCTGCTGATAGTCAGACAGGCCATAATAAAATCATAACGAATACTGGGAGGCCCCAGGACAGGAGGGAACTCCCTTCCACATTGCTGGTGGGAACGTAAACTAGTACAACCACTATGGAAATCAATATGAAGATTCCTCAAAAAAAACTAAAACTAGAAATTCCATTTGACCCAGCTGTTCTCTATCTATCTACCCAAAAGAATTAAAGGCATCATATTTGGTGGGCCAGGGATTTAGCTCAGTGGTGCTGCCACCTGCCTTGCAAGTGCAATGACTCAAGTTCAATCCCTGGTACTGCCCCAAAAAATAAATAAATAAAAAAGGCATCATATCCAGTTATACATGTAGATCTATGCTTATAGCAGCACAATTCGTAATACACTACAGTTTATGTAGTTTTCAATTGGTGGACACCTGGGCTGTTATCAATTCATAGCTATTATAAATAAGGCTGCTATGAGCATTCTTGCACAAGTCATTATTGTAGAACACAACATTTCAAAGCACAGCAGTCAAGTCTATCTGATTCCAGACCCACATGCTTTCTGCAACACCACGTTGCTTCTCTATAGGGTGCTATATTTATGTGAAATGCACCATCAGAGGTTTTATCCCTAAAGGTTTCATCATAATTTGAACACAAATGGGGAAATATGATATTTATATAAACAAAACATCCAGACACAAATTCAATTTTTATTACCATATCCCAACAAAATATCTGATTATGATTATTGGGATAGATACTTATTTTTCATCTGTTCATATTAGCTACATTAAAGGCCAGGATGTAACTCAGTGCATCACAATTGCCTCTTAAGCGCAAGGTCCTGAGTTCGATCC